AATTCTGCTGCATACTGAAGTACAGTGCTTGTCATGCGAAAAAGTATTTCAAGATGTCTTCTGAATATCCAAGTGGAAGTGTTGGTTTAGCAGTTAAATATACCTGCCACTTCACTATAGTACTCAATATTGGACATATTTGAACATGCATGAATTTGAATTCATTCATGAAATTAATAGGTTTCTCTATACTTAGAGAAAGTAACTTACCTAATATCCTAATTTAGTATCTTGCACAAATTACAAACTTAAAAATACATTTACAGAGGTACCTCAGTTGTCTTGACCTTTCAGGCTAGGAGACTACATCTTGTCACATTTAGGGTACCAGGAAAAAACCTGCTTGATATAGTTAAAGGCCAGTACCTCTGTTTTTAACTTTTTTTTACTGACCATTCCAAGGAAAAACCAGGAACTCGTAGAGAACCAGAACCTCGATTCTTGTGCTATGTTTGTGGATTCACTTAGGAAAAGAGAGATTTGAAAACATAATTTGCCAAGTGCTGTCAGCAGAACTCTTAGGCTCAGATTTGATTTCTGTAATCAAACCTCATTACATTTTTGCTTTCAGTCCTTGTTGATCTTGTTAAATTATTTTAAAATATAATATTCTGTAATCGAATACCAGAAAAGCATTTGTCTCGGTAGCATGTGGTACTTGATCCTATGAAGCAGTGGTTACTAGGAAAACTATTTCCCAAGGGGAAAAAAAAATACAAAGTATTGATTATGAGGGGGCAGATAATTAAAAGGGTTTACTCTCAGAAAAAAATTTAAAGTGTCCAAGATGTTGTTAGCCTTAGAGTCAGAGATGCTTCCTGGCTGGACATAGTGGCAGCAATGTTTCTGAGGGGAATGGTCACCCTCACCTGAGCATCTTCAGGTACAGTCCTCACTTGAGCATCTTCAGATGAGTCTGCTGCCGCTGCCAGGAAGCTTCTGCTGAGAAAGATGCAGAAAACAGCAAGGGGCCAGCAGCCTCATCAAAGGCCTTTTAGTTCTAATTCCAGGTTTGGGGGAAATGATCTTCCTGTGGGGAGGCAGAGGAAAGAATCTGGCAGTGAAAACCAGCTGGCTGTGAGATGGGCTTCTTGGAAGGACTGTTGATGCCATCCAGGTGATAAGAGGTTGAAGTCTTAGAGGTGAACAGGGGAAGAGAGTAATGACAGGTGATGCCTACTGAGAAATGCACCCAATATTCCAAGCATTTCTTTGAAATGTGTGCCACATACAATGCTGTAATGATAAGCTTTTAAAATAGATTTGTATTGTATAAACATGTTCTTTATAGTATCTTGAAAGTTTTCCTTGTGATTTTTAGATATGTGTGTATATATGTATATGTGTGTGTGTGTGTGTGTGTGTGTGTATATATATACACACACACACACACACACACATTTTTCAATTAGGTACTTTTTTGTTTAATAAAAAGACAAACACAGACAACTGCATTGACCATACCAGTGATGTGTGTGTATACACATATGTATGTATAATAGATACACATATATATACACATGTGTATGTATATACGTATGTGAGGCTTCTTTGTCTACTGGGGAATTACGGCTTACATAAAACCACTGTGATAGGGGACAACAGGTCTGTGCAGATGTTTGTGGGAGCATGGAAGATGAAGCAGCTTATTCTCCTGGGGCAGGTGGAGAAGGTTTCTCAGAAGAGGTAACATCTGAGCTAGGTTTTGAAGGGTGAGCAGGAGCTATCGGAGGAAGAAGGGAAGGAGGTATTCCAGGAGGACGACACTCCCAAGTAAGGCCTGGGAGCAGTTCCTGCGGGTTTATCGTGAGAGCCTCAGTGGGCCCAAAGCATTAGGATGTGAGAGGGACTGGTCAAAGACGAATCTGCAGAAGTAGCTACAACCCGTGTCATGAAGAAGCTGATAATCGACTGTAAGAAGCTGGGACATTGTCTTGTTGCCAAAAGAGAACCACTGGGCAGGTTTGTTTTTTGAGGAAGATGGATCTGGGGACATTGTGGGGAATGAGGTGGAGGGACAAGAGAATAGTGGCAGGGAGCCAGGTTTGAGGACATTGTGGTAGTTCAGGAGAGGGATGTCTTCAGGGAGTTCCAATTATAATGGCGGGAAGGGATGTTTACTGTGGAAAATATTCTGCAGTAGAATCAACTCAGTAACTACACGTATTTATAAGAACATCATAAAGTTTTCCTCTCAAAACTGTGAAGGGAAGGAGGAGAAATATACATAGTTTTTTCAGCAGCTCAAATGTTACTTGAATTTCTTAAAGGTTTTTTTAATTCGTAGGGCTAAACTATCTTTGAGTTATAAATTTGCATATGTAGTCACAAAAATTCCTTCATGACAAATCTGACTGAACTGTAGTAAAATGCTAGCACTACTGGCATGTTAACAGTTAAACAGAGATAAGAAATCATTTGGATGCACATTTTGTTATAACGGAAGACAAATATCACCTTGTCCATGTTAAATTTTTTCAATATGGTGTTCTTTTTCTGATTTTCCATTCAGAGTACTTTAGTAATTTCATATGTTGAAGATAGGAATGTACCTTTGTGTGTGTATGTTTTATATATATGTTGTGTTTATATGTATATAGGTTGTTCCTCTCTCTCTCTCTCTCTCTCTCTGTGTGTGTGTATATATATATATATACAGACACATGTTGTTTCTCAGGACCAAATATAGGCTAAATAAGAAAACAAATATTAAAATATAAATTGTTTGTCTGTATAAATTTCAAATCTGAAAGATAATCATTTTACTAAAAGCTGAAGCTTTGATCAAATAAGTGAGCCTGATCTCCTGAAATCAAAACGCAAGAGATTTTTTTTTTTTTTTTTTCATTTTTTGAGATGGAGTCTCACTCTGTCGCCCAGGCTGGAATGCAGTGGTGTGATCTTGGCTCACTGCAACCTCCGCCTCCTGGATTTAAGCAATTCTCTGCCTCAGCTTCCTGAGTAGCTGGGACTACAGGCACCCACCACCATGCCCACCTAATTTTTGTATTTTTAGTAGAGACAGGGTTTCACCATCTTGGCCAGGCTGGTCTTGAACTCCTGAATTCGTGATCCACCTGCCTCGGCCTCCCAAAGTGCTGCGATTACAGGTGTGAGCCACTGGGCCCGGCCAACACAAGAGATTTTCTATTATTCCTTTTCAAAGGACCGCCCTGAAGCTCTTCATGTAGTAAATGACGTTCTTGTAAAGACCTCTTGATGAGAAAATTATTTATTTCAGTCAGGGAGAGCGGACTTTTGCCTAACTTATGCACTGAGCAATGATGCCAGCAATAAAAGCTTACCCTATAAAAATCAGAGCCATTTGTTTGTACTGTCTTCTTTGAAAAGAGATTTTTTTTTTTTTTTTTTTTTTTTTTTTTTTTTTTGCTGAGATGGCGTTTCGCTTTGTTGCTTAGGCTGGAGTGCAGTGGCGTGATCTTGTCTCACTATAATCTCTGCTTCCCAGGTTCAGTGATTCTCCTGCCTCAGCCTCCGGAGTAGCTGGGACCACAGGCAAGCACCACCACACCCGGCTAATTTTTGTATTTTTAATGGAGATCGGGTTTTCATCATTGTTGGCCAGGCTGGTCTCAGGTGATCTGCCTGCCTTGGCCACCCAAAGTGCTGGGATTACAGGTGTGAGCCCAGCCAAAACAGATTCTTAAAATGGCATTTATACCTGCCTTAGTTTGAGCAACAGGTTTAAGGTTTCTTAAATTCAAGTACTTTTAAAAATTCTCTTCAGATATGCTTATCAGAAAACGTGTTTACTATTTAACAGTTAGTACCCAGTTCAGGTAGGTAAAGTATCTGTTAAAGATAATGTTAAGTACGGGAAAAAACCAATATAATGGCCCAAAGATTCATAGAGAAATAGTCTAGTTTTCCTATAAGAGATGTTTCAACTCTGAGAAATATTATTAAGAATTGACCCTGCATATGATTCTGTCATATTTGTTGCATTTTTTTGGAGCTGAGTCCCATGGTAGCTGTTTTTAAAATCTACTGTATTTATGGTGATCTGCTCCATTCCATGTCAGAACCTGATTTGGCCTCAATCTCATTAATCAGTTACCTCAGCCTGTCACCGAGCTGCAGCCCTTTAGTTTTGTTGTTGTTTCTGGCTTTGGGTTGGCAGTGATAGACACTACCAGTCATTCCCCAGATGCATTAGAGGGGATCCCCTTCATTGTCATTCTTTTGGCGGTGTCTGATTTTTTATGTTTTTTTAGCTGCCTTAATGTAGTAAGTTGAAGAGCTGTTTTAAACCTGAAGTTTGTCTCTACCAATAGAGTAAAAAAAATTAGCTTTTTAAAGAGACAGGGTCTCTCACTTTGTCACCCAGGCTGGAATGCAGTGGTGTGTGATCATGGGTCCTGCAGCCTCAACCTCCTGCACTCAAGTGATCCTTCCACCTCAACCTCCTGAGTAGCTGGGACCACAGGCATGCACCACCATGCCCAGCTAATTTTTTAAAAATGTTTGTAGAGACTGGGTCTCCCTGTGTTGCCCAGGCTGGTCATGAACTCCTGGGTTCAAGTGGTCCCCCTGCCTTGGCCTCTGGAAGTGTTGGTATTGCAAACATGAGCCACTGTACGTGGCCAAAAAAGAGCTTTTTAAAAAATAATTTTGTAGATTGACAAATGTGACTCTTGTAATTTTATTGAACATGAAAACCAGGAATCTTTATTTGATACTAAACATTTTAAAGGCATCTCAATTGTTTTTGTAATAACACATAAGTAGTGGGTTTTTATTTCAAACCTTTGTGCATATAGCTATTAAACGCCTATGTGTATGGCTATTATTTTAGTTTTTGCCATTATTATGAAGAAGTTGGGTTTCATTCATTTGTAAAATTTCAACCAGACTGCCTTTCACAAATCAATTTGTCAAAATTGAATGTTAATCTTGACATCCCAGCGCATTTTTGCTCTCAGACAGGCCTTTGAATGAAGCTGCAAACACACATTATCTGGTTGTTAATTGTTTTACAGATGAGAACTGGACTGATGACCAACTGCTTGGTTTTAAACCATGCAATGAAAACCTTATTGCTGGCTGCAATATAATCAATGGGAAATGTGAATGTAACACCATTCGAACCTGCAGCAATCCCTTTGAGTTTCCAAGTCAGGATATGTGCCTTTCAGCTTTAAAGAAAATTGAAGGTAAGCATTAATTTTTGTTGACCCTCCAGTCATAAGCCTTAGCATTGTGTAACTCTGAGTAGCAATAGTATTTGAGCTTGAAAAGGCAAAGGCAAGTTTACAGAGAGTGGTAGTTTTTGTAATCGCAACTAAGGTGTATAAAGTTTACTGGGTGCTGATGTGATGTGAGTGTTTCTGAGATGCTGTGGAATGGCAGTGCTGTGGTGGTGTGAGCAGGGCCCTCTGTGCCAGCCCTCCTAGGCCACCTCTGCATAATGGATGATTTCACAAGCGGTGTGCTTGAGATCAGCACCTGTTGTCATCGGGTCCGTTCTGCTTGATTTTACCTTAGGATGGTGCTCCATGAGGAGAGTCTGCTAATTAGAAATGCAGCTCATCTGGCATGAAAGAGTTATGTCTTTAGCAGAAATGGGAGAATTGTGCAGTGATAATTGAAGGCTTAGATTGGTTTTGCTGGAGGGCAGGAATCACATAGGGTGTGGAGGGATCATTAGGTGCTTTGCCTCTGGAGAGAAGTCAGAAATTGTGTTCAAGTAACAAGAAAATTACACTGATATGGCCCATGACGTTTGTACATTCATACATACAACCGAGAAAAAACTTCAAGAAACTGAAAATGTGACTCATCACCACAGTCATCTCAAGTGGAGTACCCAGAGCTCGGTGCTGTGGCTCATAGCCAAAATTAAAAAGGGGTAAACCCTGGGTTTGGGTCTCAGCTCTGCCACTGACCAGAGTTAAACTCTCTTACTCCCAGTTTCTTCTTGGGGGAAAAAAAAAAAAAAAGCTGAAAGAGACATTTTTACATATACCTTTTATACCTAAAATGATGTCATTGTAAGATGGAGTGGTTGAGGCTGGGCGCAGTGGCTCACGCCTGTAATCCCAGCACTTTGGGAGGCCGAGGCGGGCGGATCACGAGGTCAAGAGATCGAGACCATTCTCGCCATGATGAAACCCCGTCTCTACTAAAAATACAAAAATTAGCCGGGTGTGGTGGCATGTGCCTGTAGTCCCAGCTACTCGGGAGGCTGAGGCGGAAGAATCGCTTGAACCCAGGACACGGAGGTTGCAGTGAGCCGAAATGGTGCCACTGCACTCCAGCCTGATGACAGAGCAAGACTCCATCTCAGAAAAAAAAAAAAAAAAAAAAAAAAAAGGATGGAGTGGTTGGTAATATAATACCAAGAGTTCTTAAAGTCCAAAAATCAAGCTTATAAGGGCAGTACAGCAGGACTAAGGTTTTGTAAATGTACTTAGTTTCCAAGTTATAGTAAATGGTAAGGAAGAAGAAATTTGCAGTAGCTTACAAAATAACATTTCTCTTTGTATTTACCAGTGCCACTGATTCATTAGAAAAGAATAGAGTAGAAAACAATAGAAATAACATTTGGGAATTACAGAGAATCCTAGAGAACAGTTAGTCCAGTCCTTGAACTTGAACATTGGGAGGCTGAGCTTCCATGCATTTGATGAGTATCAGGCCTAGTGCTAACCACACCAAGTATTCTTCTGTCACATCTTGACTTAAACAATACCGTTGGGTACCTAACTCATTTCTGTTGTCCGGTTGCCCTTTGCTACCCACACCCAATGCTGGCCACAAAAGAGTGTTTTGCCAATGTCAGTATGTAAACATTTAGGGATATAGACGACATAGTCACATGTCTGTTTACATAGTTAATAATTTAGCTGTATATACACATTTAAACTCCTATAAATAGGTCATCCAGCAATTTAGAATTATTGCTTTTTGCCATTCTTACATTTCAGGGAACTGTCCTGAATGGTGAGTGCCTCCCCATTGCTGTCATTGTCTCCACTCAGGCCCCCTTTCAGGTCACTTAATGCCCTGCTCCTGAACATACCTTCTTCACTGCCACCTGAGTTGTTTGAGGTGCGGCAGATTTTGAATGTAAGGATAATGCTGTCACAGGAAGTTTTGTCCCAGAACCCAGTATCTCTTCACATAAAATTAGGACAGTTGCATTTTTAATTAGTTAGTCGTGTATTTATGATCTTTGCAATGTGTAGATTAACTTTATTGATTCCTAAGTGATTCTAAAGAGGCTGTTTGTGAGATCCAGCATTTCCGATTTTGAGACTATTCCCACAGGAATAATTACTGGATCTGATTGAATTTCTTTACCTTTTATTTTCCAACTTACTATGTCAGATGGCTTCCATGTAATGCAAATGTGGAATTCGTTGAGGTCATTTAGGGTTAATGTGTCTTCTACAAACAGTGCTTTGTTATTCAAAATAAAGTACCAGGCAGTATGTGAGATCTTGTAAAGAAGTCAGGATTAGGGGATTTCCCTTTTCTGAGAAGCAATTTTGAAAGAAAAAGTCTACTTATATTCGGGTATATATTGTATATGAAAGAATTAGTGATGAAATCATACTTGCAAATATTCACGTCATTAATGGTGACAGAGACTTGGAGTGTTATAGGACGTCAGGGCCAAGGAAGTACGATTTGGAATTATATGATAAGGTATCATGGAGGATAGAGTCTGAGCAATTTAGAATTGTGGTGATGATGGATTTCAGGAATGAGGACAATAATGGACAAAAGAATAAAATGTGGAAGTGGGAATCTGCATGACTTACATGGAATATTACTTAGGAAACTGGTCGGAGAGACCAGGGTTTTATGTTGATGGACAATAGGAAATAAAGATTCAAGGCAGGATAGGACTAGACTATGAAATGTCTTAAACATGCTTAAGCCGGGTAATATGAGCAATCAGAAATCATTGTAGGTTTATGAACAGACAGAAAGAAGATGGTGAAGTCAACATTAGGCAGACTTTGGTTGTGGTGGGATGCAAAATGGATTAGCAGGGGGAGATAATGGCAGTGAAGAGGCTCATTGGAGAGCTTTTCAGCTGTTTAGAGGTGTTACCACAAGAAACTGGACTTCAAGTGGCAGCAGGAAAACAGCAAAGAGGAGATGGATATGTTCCATTTTGATGAAAGAACCTACAGTATCCGATAGCAAGAAAGGGAAGGATGAAAATTACCCAAAAATGATTCTAAGATTTCTAACCTGAAATAGTAGAATGATAGTGCAAGTAATAGAAGTAGGAAGACTTTTGAGGAGTCTTGTGTTAAAATGATACTGAAAATAGGAGTAATTGTTTTAGGGTAATGTAGGTCAAGAAGAGCTTAAGAAAATATAGGAGATACTACAGCATGTTTGGATGGTGACCGGAATGATCTAGTTAGAAGGAAAAGCCAATAATATAAGAAAGACGATTGCAGGAGCAAAGTCTTTTGAGGAATAAGAAGAACAAAATTGTTTGTCTCTCAGGGAAGTATAAATCAAGGTCATCATCTCACATTAGATGGAAGAAGCGGGTATGGAAATTTGAAGAGAGAGAGGAAAATGTAAACAGACATCTTGAAAGGAGAGGATGAATAAATTAATAAGGGAAATGTGGTAGGATCACCTACTGGTGCTGACAGCTTACTTGAGGTTAGTGGTTATGCCTCTGAAGAGAGGCCGGCCAGCACAGTTCTGTGATTTTCTCTAGTTTGATGTAGGTGTGCAGTGTAGGTAGAGAGGTACCAGGGTGGGATTTTTCCTGACAAGTCTGGTAGAAAGAGAGAGGGAGTCATGGGGATTGAGGATTATGTAAGAGAGCTTTATAGTGATTGACCATGTTATCTGCATTGGAAAGGAGACAAAATCAGTGGGTAAGTGATGTGGAGAGTAGAGGGGAGGTTCTAGTGGGCTTGAAGAATTATTGGAGGGAGGTAGCTAAGGAAGTAAGTAGCAATGAATACCTGAAGACAGTGTTTTTATTGGTTGTAATGAGGGTTAGAAATTACCATGGATGAGCCGGGCGCGGTGGCTCACGCCTGTAATCCCAGCACTTTGGGAGACCGAGGTGGGTGGATCACGAGGTCAAGAGATCGAGACCATCCTGGTCAACATGGTGAAACCCCGTCTCTACTAAAACTACAAAAAATTAGCTGGGCATGGTGGCGCGTGCCTGTAATCCCAGCTACTCAGGAGGCTGAGGCAGGAGAATTGCCTGAACCCAGGAGGTGGAGGTTGCGGTGAGCCGAGATCGCGCCATTGCACTCCAGCCTGGGTAACAAAAGAAAGAAATTACCATGGATGATGTAGTTGATTGAAGAGGGGGTGGGAGGTCAGATAGCTGAGTCAGGATGAAGTGCCTCTGCCAATGATGAAGATGCCAAGGAATAGTAGCAGGGAAGAGACATGGAGCCAGAAGTTCTGCAGGTAAATGCCACACCTCCACGTGGCTGGTGTTGTCTAATTGCACACGCTTCAAGTGGACAAGGTTTTATTTTTTTAAAGGGGAAAAGGAAGAATGATCTGAAGGTGGAATTGAGAGCAAACAGAATACCGATGCCCCTGCCAGGATTTATGAAATGTGGGAGATAAAGCCATTCCCATTTGAGAAGACTTCAAGGGAAAAAGAGTAGCCAGATACTACCTAGGTTTCAGTTTAAGCAAGAAGGTGAGGGGAACATCCAGAGGGAAGAATGAGGGCAGAAAGGATTTTGTTCATAAGCTCTAGAAGGCACAGAGTGGGATTTAGGAGGGAGATTTTTACAGGGTATGGGTGATTTTGCAAAGCCAAGAGGGGTTAAGAGTGCAGTGATGATGCTTGCTCCCAAGTCTCTTAGAGGAAGGTGAATAGTCCAGTTAAAACCTCCTTTAAGGACTCTACTTTGAGTAGTTTACAGTATTAAGGTGTGCAGTGTTAGGGATAGGGCAAGAAGAATAGTATTCATGGCAGAGCATAATGAGAAAACATGGGTCCCCATTTCTATGTTTTTGGTGGTGATGCTGAAAATGAATGTGAAATATTGCTATAACATTTAAAAAAATGTGTGGAAGTCATTGCAGGGCATTTCAATATTAGAGACTTACAGAGAATACTGGAAATTTCTGGGCATTGAAAAAGTTCCTGTGTATTACTTATGTTTGTTTAAAAGGAGTTGGTCCTGAATTTTACTCACTGTTTTCTTTACTAAAATACATGAACATATCTCACCATAAAATCAGTTTGTCAAAATATAAAGGAAATAGGTAACAGTCAGCCATGGCTTTGTGCAGAATAGTTTGTCCAAGTGATCTGTATTTTCTAAGGAAGAAGTCTGATAAAGGGAGTGACCTGCAAGTCATCCCACCTTGATCTTAATAAAGTTTTTACTTCTATGCCTTACTACCTATGCAGCAGTGATTTGGTATATGTTGGACTGAGCACCACAAAAGTGAAATTAGTGCACCATGGACACATCGGTTTGACACAGTAGTAAAAACAGTGCCAGCTTCTACAGCTGCTGCAGGGGTGTTCTAGGGGCCTCTCTGGGCTTAGTGATCATAGGTAAAAGTCAATATCAAAGGTTTCCATGATGCAGTGAATAAGTTGGACTTTTAATTTTGCGTAGAATTTCAAGTTGGGTACATGGCTTTTAAAAAAATTATTGTAATTCAGAGTGGTCATAATTCAAGAATTAATCAGCAGTATGAAACCATGCCACATTTGGTGAAGAATTATAATACACACTGGAAATCATTCAGTTGTTCATTTCATCCAGCAAATATTTATGAAATGCCAGGTATGTACGTGGCACTGTTGTAGTTGCTGAGGATTCAGCTCTCGTGGAGCTTAATTCCAAAGTGGGACTTTGACTTTAGTCCTGCCACCAGAACTTGTAGCATGGAGACACTTTCAGCTGTAGCAATAAACCTGCTGCCATCCCCTAAGTACAGGGAAGACAGAGGCCTCCAGCTCTGCCCCCACTCACATTTTTATACATGGGGAGCCTGGGTGCCACACACCAAGGGTGTCTCCTAAGTTTCTCAAATTTGAGGGAGCTTGATGGCCACACAGACAATAAATACATAAATAAGAAAATAGCTTATAGTATAATACAAGCTTTCGAAAACAATAACCAGGATGCTGTGATAGAGAATTACTTAGGTAATTGCTTTATCCAGGGATGTCAGAGACATATTCTATGAAGGAAGGGCATTTCAAATTGAAATCTCAGTGCACAAAAGAGTCAGCCTTATGATGACCTGAGGAGAGAGAATTCCATAGGGAAGGAATTCAGAGCAACTGCAGAAGCTCTAAGGAGAGAATAAGCTTGATGTTGAAGGACTGGCAAGAAGAAGCAAAAAGAAACAGCACAACCAGAATGGGGTAAAGGAAGGGTAAGGCCAAACCACCTGAGCCCTTGTAGATGATGAGGTGTTTGGATTTTCCGATGAGTACATAGGAAAGCTGATAAAGGATTGTGAGCAAAGGTTTGACATGATCTGTCTTTTAAAACATGATTATGGTGGAAAAAGAGACTGGTTGGGGTGGGGAGATGCAAGAGTGGGAACAGAGCTGGCTCATAAGGGTTCTTTCAGTAGTTCATGTAAGAGATCATGGGGACTCGTACCTGAGAGCTGGAGATGAAGAGAATTGGGTGGATTTGAGATATCATTGGAAATAGAAGTAGCAGGAGTTGTTGATAGGGATGTTGAGGGAAAGAGAAATCAAGAAGTACTCCTAGATGTGGAGTTTAAGCAAATTGTAGTGCCCTTTACTAGGGGGAGGGGCAAATTTAGGAAGGACTCAAGAATTTTGTTTGGGACAGATTAAATTTGACATCCACATAGAGCTATTTGTCACAAGCAATTTTTAAATATAATTCAGTAGCTGATTAAGTAGAATTCATACATACATGCTTTATGGTGTATAATTACAAAGAGATATCCCTGAGAAAAGTCAGATCTCTCTCCTGAGTTTGTATAGAAAATAAAAATAACCCACTTTGCAGTGATTCATCACTAGGCAGAAACTGGTTTAACGGGTGTCTGTGGGATCCATAAAATGTGTTTTCATCATTGCTTCGTCACACATCACACGGGTTAGGGTGATGTAGAGTATGTGGAACCCAGTCCTGCTTGCACAATGAACATTTTGTAAAAGCAGGAAGACACCTAATGCTTTAGCTAATCCTCCTTTGTTTTAGCTGAAAGCATTTTGAGAACATTGAATGATTTATCATTTTTGGCTATTTTGAATTATTTTCTCATAGAGAAAAAACAGACAAAAATTGGCGTGTGATACTATACATTATTGTCTTATATTGAGTGGACAAATAAGAGCTGTGCTGCATTCATAAGATGGATAAATCAAGGAAGGTTTTGTGGGGGAACTAGGAATTGAGTCCAACTCTAAGAAATTTGTTGATTGGCTCAACAGAAGGGAAGGAGAGTTTAAGAGCAGCCTTGGCTAGAAAGGAGAGGATGGACAGGGGGTTATGGATAGGAGGAAATTAAAATGGCCAAGTCCTTCAGTGACTGATTGACATGGGGATGAAGAAAAGGAAGACTTCCAGATTGGGGCGTCGGGGGGACGATTGTCAAGATAAATGCTGAAGAGGAGGTGGTCAGGATAGATTTCAGGAGGACGATGGTCAGGATATATAGTGGTGTCATGTATTAGAATGTTGAGATACAAGGAGAGCAGCTTTGTGGGAGGTGGGATGAGGTAGATACTCCATTTGTTTGGTTATTTTGAGGTATCTATGGAGAATCAAGGGGAGGATGAGACTTACAGGTCTGGAACTCAGAGATCTGAGCTGGAGATAAGGATTTATGAGTCACCTTCCGAGGCAGATTTTGTTGTCTAATGACTTTTGAGTACGTAAATGATGTGAGGAGTATGAGCATTTGTAGGAAGATTAATGTGACAGTAATGTGCATAATGGAGGAAAAAGGAGACAGGCAGTGTTAGCACACCAAGAGTGAGATAAAAGGGCCCATACAGTGAGGCTGGTGCAGGAAGCCACTCTTCTGTTAGCATGGTAGAAGAAAATTCAAGGACTGCTGTTGTTAGCCAAGTGAAAGTCTAAAACACAGTTGCCAGCACCCATGATATTGAGATGTATAGAATGGAATATATTATTTTAATTAATTGTTAGTTGATTGACTAATTTGTACTCCTTTGTTCAAAAAAAGCCTTCAAAAGTATTTGAGTATAGTAGAGCTGGTCACACCTACATGTGGGATTAGAGCTAGTTCAGAGTAGAAGCACTAAAATGATTAAGTAATTGGATAGGGAGGTCAAGAAATAGGATTATAGTAATAGACTGTTTCAGTCCACAAGGTACTCAGCGTTTTCTACAAATACCTTCTGAGGCTGCCACTTTCATTTTAGAGCTGCTTTAATTGTTGATTCAATCATGCATTTATTCATATATTCATTCAAAAAGAATGTATTGAGCACATGCCATGTGCCGCTACACCTCAGATTCACCAGTGCGACTTTAGTTTGCTTTTACCTGAAGGACTGTTTTTTGAATGACCTAAATTGCAACACATTTTCAATACGCTATGGGAACTTGCCTTGTTGTATTGTTTTTATGTTTTGATTTTATATTGTATAGCTGTGTTCTCTGAAATGAAACTAATTTTTGCACAAAGTCTTCTGTTTTATAGCCTTTTTTCTTTCTGTTTTTAAAAACCTAGATAACAATTGCCTCAGATCATTAACTTAATTATCCTGTACTCTAAATTTGCTATTTCGTTGCTACCTAAAGAAATGTTAATATTATGAGTTTCTTATTCTGTTTTTAGTTTTTTACATTTCACTTATTTCACGTATTTTTTTTTTTTAACGCAAGTAAAGCGTAAGTGCTAAATTTTATTCTCGACTGTTACCTTGTCCTTGGTCTAGGCTGTAGTATAACCTGTGCTGTGTGTGGCCTAATCAAATGTTGTAAATCTGATGTCATCTCT